AATATTAAGAAGTAATTTACCGTTTATTCAATTGTCATTGATTGGTAATGATCCATCGATGATCGTCAATGTCGAGTTATCATCAAGTCGAGATATAAAAATGCAAAAAAAAAGAATTAGAATCGATGCTGTTGAAAATATTAAGAATTTACCGTTTATCCAATTGTCATTGATTGGGAATGATCCATCGATCATCAAAATCATGAAAATCCTTGATCGGATTGCAAACATTATTGATTTCAAACCAAATGAGTTAAGAATGGTATGAAATTAACATCAAGTTTCTGGAACTCAATTATAAAATGTCAGATTGAAACTTTCAAAGAAATATCATACGTACATATGCACTGAAAGCAATGAGGATATCAAAAAATTGCATTTATGAAGATTGATTGATTCGGCCATTATGATAACTTGTTAAATATTTTCAATCGATAACTTGAAGTCAAGTTTTCTTAATTCTCTTCATGCCGTTTGCCATCAAATTTGAAAATCCAAATGTTTGCCAACCTAGCAAAATTGTGAAAACGATTATTTTTTACAAATTTCTTTCAATAAAAAGCGGACTTATCCAATTCTGAAATTCTTGTCTAATGATTGAATATCTATTAGTTTCAATTGAAGGTGATCATATCCAAGATCATAGACGAGTGCCAACTTATGGAAATAGTTTGAAATATGAAAAGGAAACGAATCATACTCCGAATTTAGTTCAGTTCGCAAATCTATTTTAAAAATAAAGTCTGAATTTTCAATAATTCCCAAAATAAAAGGATACTTAATTACAAATGGTTTGGTCAGTTCAACTTTGTCATCGATCATCAATATTCATATGGTGATGCAAGTATTTGACATTAATTTTTCAAAATAATCTTTGTTTTGATGAACTCTCCCAAAATCGAAAAAATTTTTACAAATTATCATCTATTATTTGGCCAGTATTTTGAATTGAGTTGAAAAAGATTGCGCCAACATCATTAGTGAACAATCAATCCAAACAATTCGTTTGAAGAAATTAATCAGATAAAATCTTTAGAAATAAAAAATTAAACTGAAATTCACATAAATTTCGTTGTTACTTAACTTGAAATCATGAATGTGATCAAAATTTTTGAATCTTACAATTGCCACAAACGAAAATAAATGAAGACAAATGTCGCTATGAATTACCATTTGATTATAAAAGTTTGGTTGAACATCCAGAAATATATTAATTCTGTTTTTGAAACGTCAAAATTCTTGATTTATTTCTTTATTTTTGATTTTAAGAAAACTTATTTCAAAATTTACACTCGAAAATGAGCACCGTTTACTTTTATAAACATTCTTAATGTAAACATTCGAACTCAAATTAACAACGGTCCTTCGAATTCGAATTCGAATCCGCCAATTTTTTAAACCCTTCATATAGTCTGTTACATTTTTCAAATGCTGCGATCCAAATGGATACATTTTTAAATTTATTCATTTTTAAAAATAAAGTAATGAAATAATCTTGATAAAACAAATTTTAATCATTAAAATTGGAAAAAGAAATTACATAAGATAATAAACAAAATAATAAAAATATCAAACAGAAACGATGTTAAGACCAGAACGGACATTAGAAAAATCCATTTTCAAATTACGTGTTAAAATCGTTAAATTATCGGCTTAATTCGTCCAAGTTGATGATTTTCATTCCTCTTTATCATCCAGTCATCGGTCAATATCTATCTTGATATGAAATGAAATATGGGAAATGATTAGCTTTAATTTTATCAAGAAAATTAANACAACGGTCCTTCGAATTCGAATTCGAATCCGCCAATTTTTTAAACCCTTCATATAGTCTGTTACATTTTTCAAATGCTGCGATCCAAATGGATACATTTTTAAATTTATTCATTTTTAAAAATAAAGTAATGAAATAATCTTGATAAAACAAATTTTAATCATTAAAATTGGAAAAAGAAATTACATAAGATAATAAACAAAATAATAAAAATATCAAACAGAAACGATGTTAAGACCAGAACGGACATTAGAAAAATCCATTTTCAAATTACGTGTTAAAATCGTTAAATTATCGGCTTAATTCGTCCAAGTTGATGATTTTCATNATGTAAACATTCGAACTCAAATTAACAACGGTCCTTCGAATTCGAATTCGAATCCGCCAATTTTTTAAACCCTTCATATAGTCTGTTACATTTTTCAAATGCTGCGATCCAAATGGATACATTTTTAAATTTATTCATTTTTAAAAATAAAGTAATGAAATAATCTTGATAAAACAAATTTTAATCATTAAAATTGGAAAAAGAAATTACATAAGATAATAAACAAAATAATAAAAATATCAAACAGAAACGATGTTAAGACCAGAACGGACATTAGAAAAATCCATTTTCAAATTACGTGTTAAAATCGTTAAATTATCGGCTTAATTCGTCCAAGTTGATGATTTTCATTCCTCTTTATCATCCAGTCATCGGTCAATATCTATCTTGATATGAAATGAAATATGGGAAATGATTAGCTTTAATTTTATCAAGAAAATTAATAATTACCGAAACGATTTAAGAATCACCAGTAGAATTTTAAAAAATCATGCGTTCATTCTTGTATTCAGGCTATTAAATGAGCAAGTCTGGCCGAAAACATTGAACCTTTGGATCACCTTTCATTGATTAATTCGTTGTTTCATCAGGTAAATCCAAAGGCCCAACGCATTGACCAGACGACTTCAACAACACAGCCTGGCCAAAGGTTGGACCAAGTTAGGAAAAAAGAGTTAAGAGAATATGCTTTTTTTGTTTTTTTTTTGTTTTTTAATTTTTTTTTGTTTTTTTTTTAATTTTTTATGATAAAAATTTCAAAAAAATTTGAAAATATACTTACAAATATACTTACGAATAACCAAAGAACCTGAAAATAGAGATGTACCCAAAAGCTGAAGAAAGAACCCGAAGAAACCGAAGAAATAAACTTACAATATACTTATGAATATTCAAAGAACCTGAAAATAGAGATAGACTCCAAAGCTGAAGGAAGAACCTATTTCATCATCGAGTAGTTGACAAAATAGGATCCTTGAAACTTGAATAAATAAGAATTCAAGTGAGATAAACCTGCTAAAGGTATCTCATTTGAATCCAAATTTAATTCCAACTTATGGACATTAGATTCGATGTTACGATCAGTAACTTTCCACAATTTACCTCTAACAAAAACCTCTGAATCTCGTGCTGCAAATTGACGAGCTTCGATAAAATAACAATCATTGCTCAATAAAGAGCGAAGAATGCTACGACCTAACGGAAATGGGTAGTGCGATGAGGACAAAATTCCCTCATCATAAATTTTATCAACTACGTGCAAAAACGGTTGTGCCATCTGATTTCGCTTAGAAAGCGAATAAGGCACATTCAAAAAATTCTTGGAGAGGCTTAGCAAGTTTTTCAGATAAGAATGAACACGTTCATACTTATCAGTGCTAAACCGCGAAAGCGGTCCATAGAATTCAGTCAATTCAGGATAATGACTGATGAAATGGACTTTAGGGGTAGCCAGTCCATTTTCATGGCACAAACGAATAAATTCCCTAACTGATGACCGTAGTTCGCAAATGTTTGGCATGGATGGCGAAAAAACAAAAAATATTACTTTCCTAAGATGAAAGTAAATAGCATAATCCGATGGATTTTCCATCATTTCAGGAAATATTTCCACTAAGCGGACAGCTAACTCAATCTTTTGCCAACCCTTACCTCGAATTTTTATTGTTTTGGGTTGAAAATTAATATCTAACTTACCATTTACCCAAATTTTAAAAGATTTAAACCTATTTCTAACCGTATCTGACCCTAATTTGACCTTAAGAATCTCAAAAACTTTTGCAATGATCGTAGAGATAACGCCCTCAGCTAGATCATGAAAAATATCAGCTGGAGCAATCTGAAAAACATTTATCCCTAATTTGTCGAAAGCTGATCGACAAGTAATTCCATAAGGACTAGCAAAATTCTTGATGGAAAGAACAGAGTTTACCTCATTTTTATAAGAATCATAAGAATTATGAATCGCCAAATGAGTGGAAGTATCATCAAGCGATGATAATCGAGTGTGTGGTATGCCACAATGCCGGCAGGCAAAGGCATAGCCAAAGCTCCGACGAAGACCTAGTAATTCGGCGACAGATAGATTATCGCCCACAATATGTGATAAACAAACCGGTATATGTATCTGTCGATCATTCAATGCATACGAAATACCGTCTCTAAATAAACAAAGAAAGTCCTCAGACAAAGGACTCATGATGTCCAAAAGAGATTGATTTGAATTTTTCAAATCATCTGGACACCATATCATCAGAAGATGAATATCTTTTTTCTTGGACGTATATTGTCGGTTATCGATGTCCAAATACAGTACATACACCTTGTACTTTTTGGAAGAATCTCGAAGTGGGTTACATATCCCAAATTCATCTCCATAGATCATCAATCGAAGTTTACCATTAAACCCATTGTTTCGAACGTAAGGAGTTACGTTCGTGGTAGTTTCTTGATTGATAATACGGACCAAATCATCATTCAGGATATATTTGACCAGAAGTTCCCTAATTGGAATATAATAATATGATTTTTCATTATCCAAACGAAAGGGCTTCGGTTGAATATGCAAAGGATTGGTCATTGCAAATTTTTCTTGAAGGTAAGAAGAATCTGCCATTCGTAATGCATAATTGCTGAGAGTTGGATTATTGCAAAACGCATTTAAATAAAATGAAGAAAGATAATGTATCGATTTTCCAGTCGCATTGTGCAACACTCGATCTCCAAGAATCCTCTGACAGGTAGCCTCGAATAACGCGTAATCAGCATCAGACAAAGTTTTCTTGACATCCATCAAAAATTCAGAATCCACGCGGTCACTGCTAATGGGAACAATATCTTCAGGTTCCTCTTCAGGTTCTGCTTCATTAATAAAAATAACATCATCATCAAAATCTTCATCAAAACCAGGTTCTTCAATGTCGAGAATTTCAGGTTCGGCAGACGCCTCAATATCCTCCATTGGAAAATCGCGCGAAGCACTTTGAGTTTCTGATTCTGTTGACGACTCAACATCCACCATTGGAATATCGCGTGAAGTACCTTGAATTTCAGAAAGACTGGAATGACTTGGCGAATCACTGTCACTCACTGTGATTTCGGGATGATCTATCTTCACATGTCTATCCAGTGTCGCATAGGATCGGAACGTTCGATCACAACAAACGAAGCTGTTGATTTTTTTAGCTCGCAACGCCTGCAAAGAAATATATATTGGATTATTTTTATCATACTTACGTCTGGATTGGACCTAAGATGGGTTATTAGTAATGAAATATAATTAAAACATTAAGCACTTACTTGAAATAACTTTGGAATAAGTTGTCTGGCCCGGTTGACACTTGATTGCAAAGCTTCTTTTAAACTCAACGATAAATCGGATGACATCGATATATTTTCGGCTTTATCTTGCACAGCCTGGAATTTTTTGAGATTGATGTTGGCCTTACCATGTTCGTCAATAAATGGGCCAAGCATTTGAATATATTCAATATAAGGTGGAGCAAAATAAACATCAAGAGTTCCGGCCTCAAGAAATCCAAATAGTCTTTCAAGTCGAGATCGAAGTTTCCCGTAAATGGATTTTTTGGACATTGTATATTGAGAAAAATAAACACAAAAATGAATAATAATAAAAAATTTAATAATGAAAACAAGAAGTTAAGATTGGCAGTGATAGTATTTAAAATTCAATTTCAATTCAATTCAAAATTCAATTTTTCAATTTTAGCCTTAACACTCAAAGTGTCAATTCGATAATGAAATCGAAAAACGGTTGAATTTTAAAGAAATGAATCTAAAGACCTCAAGAAAATTTCAAAAAACGGGTTGGACAAAAACTTTTATGATTTTATTAAGATTTAAGTTAACTTGAAAAGATTGTGTAAACAAATTATATCTCAACAAAACAAAAGTTTTTTAATGCAATGCAGTAGCCGACCGTTGGCCACTGTCACTGGTGATTTTGGTGTGGTGCTTAGAATTTTATTACATTTTGTATATACAAAATATCAATTTGAATTCCAAGTTTTGATTTGGTTACAATTCTAGCACATGTGTTTGATTTGTATTCTCGCGTTATGTCCATTGTATAAACACATGTGGTTCTTTTTTACAAATTTTAAACTTTGAATGTTTTTTCTTCATGACCTTCGAATATTTCGAATTTTCTTAATGTTTTATGTCGTTAACATTCTTTGATATTCGATTTGTCTATAGAAATTCCATGTATACATTCCATTTCTTGTTCGATGGAATTTCTAAATTTACCATGAAGATCATGTTACATTTTAATTTTTAAAACTTTAAATCGCACATTGAAATTCATGATAATTTTAAGATGATGATCAATATGAATCGGTTTGAAGATTGGTGAATGATGAT